CCAAGTGGTTTTATTTACATTATTTGAATTATTAATAACAGATTTAAAGTAATTTTTCTTTGCAGTGTACAATCGTTTTCTGAAATTTTTGTTCATTTCCCTAGTTTTTTTAAACATTTTTTTACAATTAACTTCTCTAGCCAATTTGCTGAAATTAGTTATATTTTGTTTTTCTAACTTCAATTCATTAGAGATCCATTTTTTGTTAGAATGTTGTCTTATCAAAGTCTCAGGAAAACAATTATCAAAATGATACATAAAAATGTGATGAAATGTATCATACTTTCTTTCAACCGGTGATGAGTAAAGGTTTGCCCATGATTCAAATTCCAGTGCCCTAATAAATTGATTAATATTTGCATCGCTAAATTTCCTCTTATACTCAAAATGGACCTTTGAACCAATATTTAATTTGGTGGCTTCACTATTATTGATAATTTCAAGAATTTGACCATCATGGTCTGAGAGTTGAGTGTTGATTCCTATGACTCTGTAATAATTGCTTTCTAAATTGGTAAAAATATTATCAATTGCGGTTTGAGTTGATTCAGTGATTCTGGTGGGAAAATCAATTAATGACTTAAATCCATTAGCTTTTACAATATGCAATAATCTATTTCTATTATTGTAACTTTTATCCAACATATCAATGTTTATATCACCAACAAAAATTATATGTTTAAATTTTGAACTTAGAATTTCAAGCATGGTATTTAATCTTTCAATAAATTCTGATTTGTTTTGTTTTATGGGATTTCTATAACAGCCAATTATAAGCCAATTATAAAATTTACAAACATATATTTTTATTGTTGGATATTTTTATTTACAGCCAATTTATTTTTGGCTGTAAATAAAATTTACAGCCAATTATATTTATTTTCTCTACGTTAAAATTTGTAGGTCACGCTTATTGTACATAGCAGATGTTCTTTTCATGTTTAAGATGATTTATTTTTTGTTTTCTGAATTTGTCATATGTCAGCCTGGTGAGATCAACGGACTGAAAATAGCATAATTATTCTTTATAGTCGTAATCAACTTCATTTGTTTTGTATCTTTTTATTAACCGACTTCCCCACTACCAACAAAAGGAGGAGGTTCTCAATTTGTTTGTGGCGATGTTTTTTTTTTTCTATGTATGTTCACCAATTTCTCTGTGATTCTTTTACCGATCAGTGTGGTTCCACCACCAAAATAACCAGGAGAGTTTCTATTTGGTACCTTATATAATATGTTTAAGTATAATATTTGTATAGGTGAAAAATTCTGAAAACCTTAAATATTCAACATTTATTTTGTTTACATTTGTGCAGATTGTTTACATTTGTGCAGAGAAGGCAATAAATAATAATAACATTCCTACAGCTGTTAGTTGAAACCATTTAAATGAAGCTACAGACAATTCTTCATGAAACAGTTGCTTCATATTGATCAATAAACTCTTGCCATGGAGCCTAAATTAATTACATTGAGAAAAATGCATTTTGTTTTGGTTACTATAAAAAATGTAAAAAATGTTTTGGTTAAAAAATGTATTTTAACGTTTGACCTGATTTGTGTATACAGTAATTCTGTTTTTAGTATTGAAAATTCTGACTTACAAAAACATATATGTTTCAGTGAATAGCTGTATGATATTGACAAATAAAGGTGTATTGTGAAAACCAAAGCATTCGTAAAACAGGTATAAATGTAAATTAAATGCAATTATTCCTTACACGACCTAAGAAGTGTGACAGTGCATAATCGTCAATTGTCTTAAAAGTGTTAAATATTTTAATTAGCCTACTAAACATGCATTTGCAGATGTGGAATGTTTATTGATATTCTCTACCCAGTTACTATATCATATCAATACTATTATGCCTGCTTCGGAAAGTCCTAGAGGAAGATGATTTGCAATTTCGACTAGGCTATATCTTGATCAAACAAAACCACCTACATGGCTTGCACCACTTTTAGCTGAACCAATCTTTCATATACATATTTCATTTGCAGATGTGGAATGTTTATTAATATTCTCTACCCAGTTACTATATCATATCAATACTATAATGCCTGCTTCGGAAAGTCCTAGAGGAAGATGATTTGCAATTTCGACTAGGCTATATCTTGAGCAAACAAAACCCCCTACACGACTTACACCACTTTTAGCTGAACCAATCTTTGATAAAATATTTTCCAAAGGTACCGGTACTATACGTGTTAACGACCAATTTTCCACTTTTGAGAGATTTTTTAGTGCTGGTAGCTGATGAATAACTTTCATATTGTTCCAAAAGGCTTGAGACGTTACTGTATTTCTTTTTATAATGTAGAAGTACACCGATTGCAGGAAACGATGATGTCTGACATTTCAATGTATCTAGAAAAGACAATTATTTTTAAAAAATGGTTTAAATACCTTAACTGTCAGGTGATCCTTGGAGTAGTTTACACTACTGCAGTTTCAGCCCTCAGGGGGCTTTCTTCAGGCGTCAAAGGAGGTCAAACGTTGTCATTCATACAAATTCGTAACATTTAAACTACGAGAACACAAATACGAATACGGACACGAACACGAACATAAAAAACGAAGACACACGTAAGAGTCACAAACATTTCCCATGGGTTAATCCATGCGAGGAGCTCCTCGCACGCGTCGTGCATCAATTAACCCATGGGAAATGTTTGTGACTCTTACGTGTGTCTTCGTTTTTTATGTTCGTGTCCGTATTCGTATTTGTGTTCTCGTAGTTTAAATGTTACGAATTCGTATGAATGACAACGGTTGACCTCCTTTGACGCCTGAAGAAAGCCCCCTGAGGGCTGAAACTGCAGTAGTGTAAACTACTCCAAGGATCACCTGACAGTTAAGGTATTTAAACCATTTTTAATTAACTAAAGTGATTCGGAGGCTAACATCATGAAATTAGTTTTTCATTAGGCCTAATGTAATGGACAACTCTTTCTTTCTTAAGGAATATCTAAAAATGTTTATTTTCATACCCATTGATTATGTAACCTGAACAGGCGACTCAAGCAGTTTTAAAATAAAGATTGTTCTGTGGAACTTTTGATTGTTTCAAACAGTTTTGCTTATCAAAAAACTTCAAGTAATTAATACATAAAAAATTATACGGTCACTAAAAATCATGAAATAATTTATTTTTCTAAAAAATACAACCGACTTCAAACGCTCTAAAAAGAATGAAATAATTTCAATAAAGTAATCTTTTGTATTAGGCAAGCTCACGTATTTCAAGTCGGCGCGGCTCAAACTGCAAATATGATTGAAATTAAATATTGTGTGTGTATTTTGAAAATCAATAAATTGTAGCTGGATAACATAAATATATAAAAATCATACTGAACTGTTTTGTTTATATATTAAAGGAAATATTTTCTTGTATTTTATGTTTACTTCAGAATAAATGCATTATGAAAATAACACACACAAATGTTCTATATGAATAGGAAAATAATTTAGTTTGATATTATGATAGGGAAAAGAAGCTAGTTTAGTATTAAAACGTTACTTTTCCAAGTTAGAAACATTTAAATGCGTTATAATCTTTTTAAAGATACTCGTTAATACCACTATAATGCCGATCTCTGATTACGGTAATAAAATAACACTTAACGCATAACTATGAAAAAGACATGCAGATTAACACCTTTAGTTATAGATAGTCACCTGCAATATGGACACCCTCTTTCAATTTTGTATCAAAAATCATCATAGAGCCGCGCCGACTTAAAATACGTGAGCTTGCCTAATACAAAAGATTACTTTATTGAAATTATTTCATTCTTTTTAGAGCGTTTGAAGTCGGTTGTATTTTTTAGAAAAATAAATTATTAATGTGAATTTGTTGTGCAATAATTGTGACCTGTGTATTATATGTATCCGATCTGAAAGAGAAAATAAACAAACATTCTATTCTATTCTATTCTATTCTAATTTGCATTTATCCTTTTTTATTAAGACTCGTGTACAGAACCTCGATTTTTACTGTGGTTTAATTAATTTTGGTTAAAACTGTGGTTTAAACTGTGGTCTAATTATCTCTACTAATCTTACTTATTTCCTATAATCAATGACAAAATAAGAGTAAATAAAATAACCTCATAGTTCTATAGTATATATTTAACCAGCTGTTAGTTAAAACAAATTATATTGCTCTAAAACAAATCGAAGATTACAAAGATTGCTTTAAAAAATAATTTGAACATCCTAGTATTTTACTATGTATTTAATTAATCTGTCACCCTCTTACAGAAGAATTGAACGTATCAATGATTAGCATTACACATAGTATAAATAAGTCAACCCTAAGTATGTCTTTACATTTTTATCCAAATGCTTAATTTGTGACACCAAAGCTGAATGTTTACAGCTGTTATGTTGAGCAAATTATTTTATGCCAAACGCTAGTTTAGAATCTTAGTGTCGGCTGCTAGACTTTTTAAAAATTAAAACTCAATTTCTAAAAAACTGGGACCCTAAACTAAAATTATGGCTTCGACATTCCCTAGTTCTCAAAATTATCTTTCTTTCAACACAAAAATCATGAAAATCCGTCGAGTGGTTGATTCAGAATCGTGAAATAAAAAAACACTGTTTCGTTTTAATATTATAGATACAGATACAGGTACTATACACAAATAAATTGAAAAAAAATTAGATTTTTTTAGTATAAAGTATATACAGTATAACCTCTCATATCCGACCTCGACATAACCGACTCCTCCGGATATCCGAGTTGGTGTGTCCGATCACAGTTGCTGCCATAACCATGGCAGACGACCACCGCTGTCGCTGACACAGCAAAGCTCCTTCTGATATTTCTGACCTTTTGGGATGTGAGGGAATATGCGTTTGTCAGCTTCTTTATGCATCCTCTACCTTTCAAACATGGACCAATGATCAAAACGGACGACAGACAGTTGCGAACAGTAGCTGATTACCTGTACATAACTCTGTCATTGTACCTCCACAATGTTCAATGTTCTAGGTATGCGTTTGTCGTCTACCTTGTGTAATGTCTACCTTTCAAACATGGACCGACACTGTCTGCGTAGTATGTACACAAGAGAAGACAGACTTTTGCGAACAGTAGACGACTACCTGTTCATAACCCCTGACAGAGCTAGAGCCCAATTGTGAGTAAACTTGCTAGTCAAGTATAGTTCATTACATATTACAGTATAGAAATTGGTTTATGAATTAAATTTTTAGTTATAGTTTTGCTTAACAAAAATTGTCTTACCTACTGTAGTGTTTTATTTTGTCATCAAGATTTTACTTTAATACCACCCAAACATGTTAAATATTTAAATTGTATATAAACTCCCAGTTTATCATATAGTTATTCAAATTGCACATTTATTTAATAATTAATTTCATTTATGTAACTTAGTAGATAAGGCCAAAACCAGAGATTATGTTTCTTGAATGAAACAAATTGTTCAATCTTGAATCTCCAAACAATAAATTCAATTTGCAAAATACTTTTTACTTGCTTGGTTCGTTAATAAATCCATCTACATCATATAACAATGGAAAAATAAAAAATTTTCAATAAACCCTCTTCCAAGGGCTCAGGACCCAATAAAATGGTTGTATATAATCAGGTTTGAAATATTTTAGTTTCATCAGCTGTTAGATTTATTTTAATTTATGGTCTATTTACTTCATTCCTGAGCTATTTGATTCAAATCTAAATATATAAAAGGCAAAGCCCTCACTGACACACTCACTCACTCACTCATCACTAATTCTCCCACTTCCCATTTACCTAGGAGGCTGAAATTTGGTACACTGTTTCTTTAGGCATTAAATAGGAAAACTAAGCTATTTTTATTCTGATCGGACTCTCGGGCTCCGCCCCAGTGGCTCTGGAGTTTCCCATGTTAACCTTATGAGTACTCATATTTAAATGGAATTAATGAATATTAACAGCTGTTTCAATTAAACAAGTTGGTTCTTTTCTATGATGTGCAATAGCATTTAAGTTACAAGGATTACCAACAGGGTGCAGCACTATTTTTTTAAATTTATGACTACACCTAATTTGCAACCAAAAGGTGAGTGAGCGTAGCGAACGAACTTCAACCTGGAGGCGAGTTAGCATAGCAAACGAGCTAACCTGAAGGCAAGTGAGCGCAGCGAACGAACTTCAACCAGGACGTAATTGAGCCATGCGAACGAGCTCACTTATGAAGTTAAACGGGGCAAAGCCCGCGGGTACAGCTAGTCAAATATATTATTAACTAGCTGGCCCGACAGATGTCGTCCTGTCCTAATGTGGTTTTAAGTCAAATGCTCGTTCATTTTCAAGACGAGCTCGTTCGCATGGCTCAATCAGGTCCTGGTTGAAGTTTGTTCGCTACACTCACTTACCTTTGGGTTGGAGCTTGTTCGCTGCGCTCACTTGCCTTCAGGTTAGCTCATTCGCTACGCTCACTTGGCTTTAGGTTAGCTCGTTCGCTATGCTAACTCGGCTCTAGATTGAAGTTCGTTTGCTACGCTCACTCACCTTTTGGTTGCAAATTAGCTGTTGTCATAAATAAAAAAAAAAATAATAGTGCTGCACCCTGTTGGTAATTCTATTAACTTTTTAATGCTATCGAACATCTTAGAATCAAATTGTTTAGTTGAACCAGCTGTTAAGATTCTTTAATTCCGTTTCAATATGAGTATTCATAAGGCTAACATGGGAAACTCCAGAGCCACTGGGGGTGGAGCCCTTTTGACGGATCTGCACCAAACTTCACACAAACCATACTTGAATAATGCTTAATAATGCCTGAAAGTTTCATTACAATCTGTCGAGCGGTTTCGGAGTCCATAAAGGACAAACAATCAAACAAGCATACATTGGATTTTATATAATAGACTAGGTGTAACCCGCGGGCTTTGCCCCGTTTAACTTCTTAATTTTCAAGATGATCTCGTTCGCATGGCTCAATCACGTCCTGGTTGAAGTTCGTTCGCTACGCTCACTCACACTTAGGTTGGAGCACGTTCGCTACGCTCACTACCTTTAGGTTGGAGCTCGTTCGCTGCGCTCACTTGCCTTCAGGTTAGCTCGTTCGTTACGCTCACTCACCTTTTGGTTGCAAATTAGCTGTTTTCATAAATGTAAAAGAAATAATAATGCTGCACCCTGTTGGCAATCCTTGTAACTTTAATGCTATTGAACATCATAGAACAGAACCAACTTGTTTAATTGAAACAGCTGTTAAAATTCATTAATTCCATTTCTCATAAGGTTAACATGGGAAACTGCAGAGCCACTGGGGCGGAGCCGATTGGACGGATCACGAAATTCAATTCAATTCAATTCAATTCAAATTGATGGTGTATAAACCTATTCCATGAAATTCTACACGTATGTACCAAGTTTCGTGGCAATCGGTTCAGCGGTGTCTGAGTTTATCACTGGCAAATATATATACAAACATCCTCTTTTATACTTATAGATTAAAACGCTACATGCAACTTTGTGAGCAATAAGGCTTTTTTGTTTTAAGATTTTACCCCACATGTTATACTAAAATTTTTGTCTAAGTATTAAGATTATTTTATTGAGTCTGGACATTCATCTGGGTGACTCCTTATTAGTTCAGATAAATCAGTATTTATGGATCACATTGGTAAAAATACATAGGAATGTAACGTTCTGAAATGAGTTATATAATGAACATTGAACACAAACAATGAAACACAGTGAATACATTGACATCTGAGTGTAGATAGTGCTCTCTTAGTAAACAGAGAGTTACAGGTTCGATCCTGTTCCTAATAGTTTGAAACTGGACCCAGCTGTCCTTGATTATTGGCTTTCAATAAATGATCCTGGCTAAAGTACCTGCTGATCTTGATCAGTAAATATTTAATCAGTCTCGTTCATTTATTGTTAAATCATCTTTCTTTAACATAAACACTCTGGTGTGTTGGTCTCTTAAAAATCTACCAATCAAAACAAAGCGATCTCAACAGTCTTGTATCAGCATTTTTTTGTCAATGCTACCCAGGTCTGATTTTTCCACTAGTATAAAAATTTTGTCATACTCTAAAACTTGTCTTGTTCTTAGGTTCTTGGACACAATGAGTAACGGTTTCAAAGAGTTTGGCATGAAGATCAAGCCCTCTAAGACCCAGACCAACCTCGACGAAGACCGAGAGATACTATATTGCGGCTTCCTCGTGAACACCTCGAACCTGGAGGTCTATGTCAGGCACAGAGCTGGCTTGACGTCATCCTTTCGAAACTGTTTTGTCATAAAATCAGACCCTATACTGTGAGTAATCTGTTAATAAATTTGGGTATTTCAATTTTTTCATTGGCCAAAAGTGTACCTTGTGTTTATCTAGTCTTATGACTCTTAATCACATGACCTGTTTTGTCAAGAATGTACTTACATTTTGCCTGTCCAACTGCGTCCACTTCCCCCTTTCAGGCGGGGACACACTTGTCATACACTCTTCCGATCCTACTACGATCCGATTTGCGGGATTCCAGAAGGATCGGTGCCGGATCGGAGGGGGTGAACACACATGTCATACAGGATTCCGACCCATCTCCGATTTCCTCCACCAGTCGATCAACACTTGCCAGTCTGATTTGTAAACTACGTGCAGAAGGTGGTAAACATGTTAAAAAACTTTGGACTTCGGGATTCAGCCATGATGGCGGTTTGTCTAGATGAAGAGGAAGAAAAGCAGACATATCTGGAGGGCAGTGGAAAACGAAGAATTTGGGTTCATTCTGCATGGAAAGAAAGTTAGGTGGTTTACTTAAGTTCCCATCTTATATATTAAGCACATTGGGTTTTCTCTCTCGAGTTCGTTTGGCTCTTTTACCCGTCCGATTTTCATGATCGAGGTCTCAAATTGAAGGTATGCACGCACGGATTTCACATCAAACATCGGCATATATTTATCTTGAACCATTATTCTTAAACCTTAAGAATAAAGGTGATTTTTAAGAAACAACCCGTCCTGCATCTGACAAACGAATAGACTGCAGTGTCGGTGCGTGATCGGAGTCAAAATCGGAGTAGGATCGGAGTATGACGTTACGCGTGTCGGAGAGGTGTAAACAACGGCGTTCAATGTTATGTACCATTCCCCTCTCCGACAGTCGTACCACAGTATGATCGGAGTCGGATCGGAAGGGATTATGACAAGTGTGTCCCCGCCTTTCCTGTGTGTTTCTTCATCAGCACTGTCCTTCATACTCATGTCTTTAGACAAAGAAGAGGTAGGTATATATAGTAGCCACTTTATCTCTCTATCTCTTCTTTGTGCGTCAAGGGGATTTTAAACCTGGGGTTTCCTCCCTATTTGTACTATCATACATAGCTTCATCTCTCCCCCATGGTGGAAGTAAAAAAAAAAACATAGGTGTGATATTCCTGTCATATGCTGACTTCACCCCAAATTGCAAACGCCATTTCACGATTTAGAAAAAAATAACCATAAAATCAAAACAAATATATACAGCAGAGTACCCGTCCTTCGTACGGGGTTGGAATATAGGTACAAAATGCTTATTGCAATTATACTCAAGCTTTGCGTTTGCAATAAGGGAGGACACAGTTTTATAAAATTTGTTTTTTTTAATTTACAGTATTCTATAGTATTAAACATCTACCATAGCCATAATGTTCTACCACTTCACCTAAACAATAGAGAAAAATAAATTATCAACAATTCGCAAAATATCACAAATTATTCATGAAATGAAAAACATAAACATAACTGTAAACAATCCTATTTTGACAGTTCTCATTGCGAATCACAGTTTTTTGTTGCTGCTTAGTTCAAATTAGCTGTTTTCATAAATGCAAAAAAAATATAGTGCTGCACCCTGTTGGTAAATCTTATAACTTTTTAATGCTTTTCCATATCATAGAACCAACTTTTTTAGTTAAAACAGCTGACTAAATTCTTTAATTCCCTTTAAATTTGAACACTCATAAGGTTAACATGGGGAATTACAGAGCCACTGGGGCGGAGCCCCAAAGGATTTTTGAGATAAGAGTATGCCAATATGTTAATCGGGAATGTAAGCTATCATCTTGCCAAATCTCAGCCCAATCCGTCCAGTGGTTTATGAGTGATTGAACTTCAAACACACAATAGTTATTTGTGCAACTAGTGAGCAAAGGGAGCAATTGACTCACTCAAGAGAAATACTTACTCACGAGCTGTAGGCGAGTGAGGACTGGTTTCTCGAGTGAGGCAATTGCACTTTGCACTCGAGTTGCACATTATATTTTTCCTACAGTTACCATAAAACAAATAAATTGGTAAAGAAACGTGACATATTTTTACATAGAAGTGAACTTTTAAAATGTCATTTAATGATACAACAGTACAACAGTTGACCAGCTGATTTACAGCCAGTGCTGCCAACGTATTTCGCGCGCATACGACCTTGTCTGCATGTTGCGCGCTCACTATTTCGTAGGGATGGACGGGATTGAATTTTTAGTTCGGGACGGGACGGGACGGGATTTTTATTTCCTTCCCGATTTTCGGGACGGGACGGGACGGGATTTTTTTCTGTGCATAAAAAGAAAGTACTGTTTTGCAGTTACCAAAAAACACATACGAAATCAATTTTTACCATTTGTGGCACTGATCTATAGAAACCAAAAAATGGGTAACAATTTACAGGTACCTATAGTAACTTGTGACTCGCGGGTCACGGGGTGATCGTCTGTATGACTCACAGTCACGGCGCGATCGTCGTCATGACTCGCGATCACGGCGCGATCGTCGGTATGACTCGCGGTCACGGCGCGATCGTAGGTAGGACTCCATGGTCACGGCGCGATCGTCGTCATGACTCGCGGTCACGGCGCGATCGTCGGTATGACTCCGCGGTAACGGCGCGAACGTCGGTAGGACTCCGCGGTCACGGCGCGATCGTCGATATGACTCGCGGTCACGGCGCGATCGTCGGTATGACTCGCGGTCACGGCGCGATCGTCGGTATGACTCGCGGTCACGGCGCAATCGTCGGTAGGACTCCACGGTCAAGGCGCGATCGTCGGTATGACTCGCGGTCACGGCGCGAGCGTCGGTAGGACTCCACGGTCACAGCGCGATCGTCGGTATGACTCCACGGTAACGGCGCGAACGTCGGTAGGACTCCGTGGTCACGGCGCGATCGTCGATATAACTCCGCGGTCACGGGGTTATCGTCGGTATGACTCGCGGTCACGGGGTTATCGTCGGTATGACTCGCGGTCACGGCATGACCGTCAGTATGACTCGCAGTCACGGCGCGATCGTCGGTATGACTCGCGGTCACGGCGCGATCGTCGGTATGACACGCGGTCACGGCGCGATCTTCGATATGACTCGCGGTCACGGCGCGATCGTCGGTATGACTCGCGGTCACGGCGCGATCGTCGGTAGGACTCGCGGTCACGGCGCAATCGTCGGTAGGACTCCACGGTCAAGGCGCGATCGTCGGTATGACTCGCGGTCACGGCGCGAGCGTCGGTAGGACTCCACGGTCACAGCGCGATCGTCGGTATGACTCCACGGTAACGGCGCGAACGTCGGTAGGACTCCGTGGTCACGGCGCGATCGTCGATATAACTCCGCGGTCACGGGGTTATCGTCGGTATGACTCGCGGTAACGGCGCGAACGTCGGTAGGACTCCGCGGTCACGGCGCGATCGTCGATATGACTCGCGGTCACGGCGCGATCGTCGGTATGACTCGCGGTCACGGCGCGATCGTCGGTATGACTCCACGGTCAAGGCGCGATCGTCGGTATGACTCGCGGTCACGGCGCGAGCGTCGGTAGGACTCCACGGTCACAGCGCGATCGTCGGTATGACTCCACGGTAACGGCGCGAACGTCGGTAGGACTCCGTGGTCACGGCGCGATCGTCGATATAACTCCGCGGTCACGGGGTTATCGTCGGTATGACTCGCGGTCACGGGGTTATCGTCGGTATGACTCGCGGTCACGGCATGACCGTCAGTATGACTCGCAGTCACGGCGCGATCGTCGGTATGACTCGCGGTCACGGCGCGATCGTCGGTATGACACGCGGTCACGGCGCGATCTTCGATATGACTCGCGGTCACGGCGCGATCGTCGGTATGACTCGCGGTCACGGCGCGATCGTCGGTAGGACTCCATTTTCACGGCGCGATCGTCGGTATGACTCCGCGGTCACGGCGTGATCGTCGGTATGACTCCGCGGTCACGGCGTGATCGTCGTTATGACTCCGCGGTCGCGGCGCGATCGTCGTTATGACTCCGCGGTCAGTCGGTATGACTCCGCGGTCACAGCCCGATCGTCGTTATGACTCGCGGTCACGGTGCAATCGTCGGTCCAATAATCGCGGCTACGGCGCGATCGTCGTTATGACTCCGCGGTCACGGCGTAATCGTCGAAATGACTTCGTCTCCTGCGTTCGCGGACCTATCGCTCGCAATAACGGCGTTATCGGCACTCGCGAAGCGGAAAAATCGCCGACGATCGGACCAAATCCCGTCCCGAAAAATTCCCGAGTCAAATGTAATCCCGTCCCGATAATCGGGAATATTTTTTTCCCGAAAAATTCCCGAAATTTCGGGACCCGTCCATCCCTACTATTTCGTGGCTTCACGTTGCAAGTCTGGAGCGAGTGAGACAAAGTAATTAGAGGGAGACAATGTTAACATTGTCTTACTGATGAGCGATTTGGCCACTTTGCTTTCTCAAATCAGTGAGAGAACATGTACATTGTTAGGTAACTGTAGGAAAACAAACAAACACACAAACTTTCACATTTATAATATTAGTAAGATATGGCTGTTACAATCAAGTGGTTTTATGTTTGCAATCTGGGTGACGGCAGCATATGACGGGAGTTTTACACCTTTGTCATTTCCTTCCACCATGCTCTCCCCCTTATTACATGTCCAGTTCACCTCATAGGTTTAGTTTGAATTTCAATAACCATGTCTAATGTTTGAAAATGTTTATTGTTGTTACTTTTTTAATAGATTATTCACTGTTCACTGTTCACTGTTCCAAATGTTTATTATTGTTACTTTTTTAATAGTTTTAAATCCGTTTATTACTGTTACTTTTTTCATTGTTTATTAATAATTGTTAAAATCTGACTACCTACTTTAAATTCTATGATTGGTTTGGTATATTATTGAATTCTTACAGAAAAACAAGGGAAACAAAAGACTGATTGAAAAAAAAGCACTTGTGAAACAAAATTAGAATACCAAATTGTGTTATAAAGAATTTCTTTTCACCTTTTGCTTACTTATACAATGATATACGATTTTCAGTCTTTTGGAAGAAAAGATTGTACATTGTCAGATAATCAAGATTGTGGGCCTAATACTTGACACCAAGTACATGTCAGTGGAGGGGATCACCCGCAACCTGTTTCACACAGGCTGTCTCCTGGCTCGCCTTCTCACTGCACTCCTGGCACTGGCTCGGCCCAGCGACATACCGGAGGGCGGAGTGGTGGCGAACTTGGTGGAACAGTCTGCCATCACTATCTCCAACAAAGTCTGCCGTGTGTGGAGAGGTATAGAAATATATGTCAAAGTATCTTAGGTTGATTATGGTTAGCATTACGGACTTTTCTCGTTATGATATCAGTTTTACAGTTCTACCTTTGTATACAGGTTAAAATTGTGAGTATTTTATTGATTGGTTACTTTAAAAATTAATGAAAAGAACTGTAATCTTTAAATTATTCTCATTAAAACTTTTATTTATGATTACTGAACTGGTATAAATTTGTGAATAAGAAATTTAAAATGGTCTTTTAACAAATGGGTGAATTTGAAGAAAACCTGTTTTTCATTATCTACAATTCGTTTATAGAGCGTACTATTCTAATTACCAAGAAGTGTACAGAGATACTTACTGTCAAATAATTTTATCTTGTGTTCTATTCCAATTTTTGTTAATTCATATAGTATAGTAGTCTCTAGACGATTCAATAAGCGGAACACTATCAAAGCATCACATAAAAGATTTCTTGTGCTTTTAACCGTTGGGCCTGCTCTACGGATGGGGATCTTGTTGTAAGTTTAAACCTTCTTATATTCAGAATTTTTTTTTTTTTTTTTTTTTTGGAGCAAGCTGGTTTAGTGGTTAGAGGGCGGGACTCAAGTTCCTGGGCTCCCGGGTTCAAATCCCGCCAAATCACCAATGCATTTTATATAAGTGATAATGCCGTAACCCCTAGGTCTAGCCTTAAGTAATGTGAAAAACAATTCCAGGCTCGTGCCTAGCGTTCTAGGATTTTAATAAAATACCCCGCTGCAGCAAACCTGCAGACTAAGCAAATCTCTATTTGCCTGACTGGATTTACACTAAAATGTCTCCTTAAACACATTTATTCCCTACTAGCTGGCCCGACAGACGTCGTCCTGTCCTAATGTGGTTTTATGTCAAATGCTCGTTCATTTTCAAGATGAGCTCGTTCGCATGGCTCAATCACGTCCTGGTTGAAGTTCGTTCGCTACGCTCATTCACCTTTAGGTTGGGGCTCGTTTGCTGCGCTCACTTGCCTTCAGTTACATTAGACAATATTCGTACAAATATTCGTAAAAAACAAATGGAATAGAAACCTATTTGATAGCTCTCATTTGTTATGCATAGATTTGTTTTTAAAAATTAGGTTATCAATACAACAGCTGTTTCCTTAATTTAATTTAATCAAGAAATGACGAACCTGGCATGGTAAAGAAAATAAAACATTCTTCCATAAGATTAACATGTAAACTGCAAAGGGCCATAGGACGCTTCCCTTAAGGGTTTTTGAAACGGAAACAGGCTATTATGTTATTCTAGTACCTAAGGAATATCCCTGTAAAATTTCATGCCAATTGGTTCAGTAGTTTTCTAGTTATAAACGCTGTAACTAACACAACTTTCTTTTATATATTATGATTTAAATAACATTAGTTCAACCAGTACTTAGGTTTGTTGCAACAGGGAGGGTAAAAAGGGTTTTTTTGTAAAATGTAATAGTTTGGTATTAAATGAATGCATTTTCCAAATTTGATCAAAATATGTTCATAAACAAGCAAACTACAACAGTTTACTTATCTATATATATAAAATCCAATGTATGTTTGTTTGTCCTTTATGGACTCCGAAACCAACTTTCAGGCATTATTAAGCATTATTCAAGGATGGATTGTGTGAAATTTGGTGCAGATCCGTCAAAAGGGCTCCGCCCCAGTGGTTCTGGAGTTTCCCATGTTAACCTTATGAGTACTCATATTTAAATGGAATTAAAGAATCTTAACAGCTGGTTCAACTAAACAATTTGATTCTGTGATGTTCAATAGCATTAAAAAGTTTATAGGCTTACCAACAGGGTGCAGCACAATTATTTTTTTCAAATTTATGAAAACAGCTAATTTGCAACCATAAGGTGAGTGAGCGTATCGAACGAACTTCAACTGGAGGCGAGTTAGCGTAGCAAATGAGCTAAACCTGAAGGCAAGTGAGCGCAGCAAACGAGCTACAACCTAAAGGTGAGAAAGCGTAGCAAAGCAACCTCAACCAGGACGTTATTGAGCGATGCGAACGAGCTCATCTTGAAAATGAACGAGCATAGGTAATAAATATGTTTTATTGACATTAACACAATGTACAATAGATTGAATATAATCTTAAGACAGCTTCCTCTAAAATCGCAGCAACGCACGACGGGTACGCTAGTTCTCCATAAGAATAACATGGGAATTTTAAATTTACAGATTTTTGGTATTTTCTCTGTAACCATTAGGCGCATAATAACGCTTCAATATACTAAATTATTTGTTTTTTTTAAGCTCTACAAAATGGTTTGTGGTCGGTTCTAACCAATGTTTACAGTTAGTTAACTAACCATAACCATATAGTTAGGTAACTATAGTACTTCCAACCAATTAAATGCGTTAATCAAGTCACAAGGTTATTAATTTTCCTTGGTTTAGGATTTTCTCACAAAATGTGATCGGAAACCAACATTATTTCTGATTACTTGCATTATTTGTAAACAAATTTTAATGTAAGTTTGAATAAACCACCTTTATCCGAACAACGGTTTGTTATTTATAGATTATGTATTCTCCAAACAACGATTGGTATATCTAGTAATCATTAGGAGTAAAAATGTGACAAAAATCGCACAACATTGGATTTTTGGACATTTTTAATTTTATTTCCTAAGTAGGTAGTTTAGGCCATGTATTCTAGGGTAAAGTAGCGGTATCAAGAATTGTTGTCAAAATGTGGTTAAAAGAATTATTGGGTAGGCCAACGTACCAAAGAGATGGGCTATGGGCCTATTGCCGGTATGGTACAGTGATTGCAGCACATAGCGGTGAGTAGAAACCGAAAGTGAAGCTTTGGAAAAGCAAGTTTAGCAGCATCCGTAAACCTCTGTTACGAACACCATGAAATCGAAAAGATATTCCCAGATTGCAGCAATATCCATCATCACCCACTGCAGTTGTGATTATTTTCTTTACAATTTGCACTACTGTCATTGCAGCACAGTCAATGAGTGGGAAACCTTGTTTGTAAGCTATTGGCGATGATTAAAAATGTAAGTTTCTCAGCCCTGCACAACACTGATTCACGGTATTTTTCCCCGTTATCAAAACTCAAGTACAATTTGATACACACAGAATATCCGGGTCCCGACCTGGATGATGCCTAGTTATTTAATTTCATTTACGGCTACACATTATTAAACTTGCGATTACAATACAATACAATACAATATTCTTTATTGTTAATTCGTCAAGAATTACAATAGTGTCAATACAATTGATTACAGAGAGTAGAATTACAGACAGACAGACAGACAGACAAACAGACAGACAGACAGAAGTTTAGATAAGAGTCGTTTTGGCTTTCTTAGGCTATGAGACGTAAAAAAAGACCAAAAACCACACGATTCTACGCAATGTACAGACAAAACTTAAATTTTTTTTAAATAGATTCTCACATAATGTGGAGCTGCTGTATTGGTGTTAATGTAGAAAATAACCTTCACCTATATCAGTTATGATTTTAGATTTGGAGATTTAAGAGCAATTTAAGAATTTGTAAATGGTACCGGTTTTTTGTTTGTTTTTTTTGCACTTATATATCTTGCATGAATAAAGACTTAATTTGATTGCTACCAATTCATTTTCCTGTAAAAAAACCAAATGGTGAATTAATGTATTCCTATAGTTGTGAGGATTTTTAATGTGAGTTCAGTTTCAATTAGTGTGACTTAGAGATTTTTGCAAGGCTTTTAATTGTTCATACATATCCAGTAAACATTGTTTGTAGATAAAGGGACCAGGACTATTCCAAGTATTATGTCACCCACCCCTATCCTCAGCTAGTCCTGGGCCAAATCCCTTGCCTTCAATACCTAGTCGTTTTCGTTTTCAATTTGTTACTTCAGCCTACAGACCAGTATTTATGACTAATTAATCATAAATATTTGTTTTTAGGTCAGCAGCGAGCACGTAATGAGCAGCCCTTCAAAAGTAAGTTATGCCTAAGTAAAAAATCTTTTTCCTTTACTCTTTAATGAAGCTATAACGATTTTATTATTTAAGAGAATTTGTGAATTGGCAGTTTTAACTTATACTTGAATCTTTTTTGAGGATAAAAAATAAGATTTTTATTTTATCCAATTATTTCTTAAGTGTGACTTAATTTACTAATGAGCAACCAAAGTTTACTCTTGGAGGGTAACGCTAAGGTAATATGCATTAGCCTAACTTGGCCACATTGCCTAAGGAAGCTTAAAAGGCGAGTTTTGACATATTTTCAGTGAAATCAGATCTCTTATAATTTTCTATTATAGTGTATAAATATCTATTAAGTGTATTAACTATTGGAATGAACTTTTTCCTGCAATTACCTTACAAAGCGGACTTTCTTGCACTGATAATAGCACGCAAAGTAGTTGATTCCTGCATTTACTTACTTTCCCACACTCATTTCATTTTGTAGCACTCATTTTACTTTCCTGCAATCCAGTATTCAAACCAAACAAAGAGACAAAATAGTGTGCCTGTATTAGGCACGTAATACGGGTGAAGTGCAAATAAAACTCATTATTAATTGACCTAAGGATAGGTTTTAATAAACTCTGAAGTCAAGTAAGATTTGTAACATTCAAATACAAAATGTAAATAGTAAACAAAGAACAACTGTGAGACAATAAAGAAATGCATGAATTAAATAAGGAATAATAACAGTTCATATGTATACAAATATCATCACAAGGGGAATCCTGAAAACAAGTTCCCAACACTCCTAAATCCATCAGCTGGTGCAGAGTTTATTTGTCATTACATTTGACCATTGATAATAATGCAGTGGCACTGCAAACCCCACAGTGTGGGCGGGTGCTGAGGTCCGACTGTCAGAACACAAGCTCTTGTCATTGTGGGAAAAGATGGCATTGTTTCTGTGACCACGGGAGACAATCATGATGTCTTTTAGACCGCGTTCACAGGAACATAATAATTTTCTTCCAGTGTTGAGGAAAAATCCTAGACCAATCCCACAGTCACCATAAAAATCAAAATCGTCTTTGATGATCACAGTCATGTGTATATCATTTGTATCTTCTGCAATCACAGCAAAATATCAAGTATCCCACGAACTCGTGACACATCATAACTTTTTCCACAATCATGACCAAAAACCACTTAAAAAACTTTTAGAAACTTTTTAGTTGTCAGGGGTCTATCTGGGATCGCGGCAAACTCCTGAATATCTTCTGCAGTAAAGAAAACCCCTATCATTCACATTGTGGTAAGATGAATGCCTCCCGTCATCACAGAAACATAATAATCATCTCTGGCGAACGTATCAAAATATTGAACATCTACCGCGGTCATGGAAACATTATCATAGTCTTCTGCGGTAATGGGAACATTACCGTCGTATTCTGCAATTGCATGCGATCAATGAATGTCAGTTAAGCGATTAATTTTGACATTCCGGACATACTTCTTGGACGTACCTCTTCACTGTTCCAACCATGGTCTCGGTCCTGTCGGTGACAGATTGTTCTTAGAATTTTATACTGTATTTGTATTTACTAACTAAGTATCAGTTCTTACCCCCGCTGCAGCTAGCCGGTAGACTAAGCAAATTTCCATTTGTATGATTGGATGTTTACTCAAATAGTTCTTAAAATATTTCACATTTATTCTATGTACGATTTTTGATCCAAATATATCCTTAAACAAGCAAAGTACAGCAGTTTACTTTTTGAACATTTTCACATTTTAAGGTTAAAAACTTAATAAACTAGTTTTTGAGAAAATTCAAAACCCCCAACAATTGCACATTCAAAAATTTGAATTTATCCCGCCATTCGTGCCAAATTAATATCAGACCAAAATTGCTCTATCAAAATGAACAAGTAAATCGGTCCCAGGTCTATTAAAAAGTATTATATTGAGGAGTTCTCACTATAAAAGCAATAAACATGGTTTACACTATTTAGTTATGACAAGAAAGGAGGTTCTTTGGGCAGTGCTACAAGCCTATCTACTGGTTCTGAGTGGTACTGCTGAGAGACAACATATCTTACCGGATGATCTTCTCTTGGTGGTTTCTCATCTCTCAGAGACTGCAAGGCAACATGTCCGGCCAACCATCTACAACCTGATGGCTCCAATAGTGAATAACGTTCCTGCACAGTATAGGAATTATGAAGATTACTGAGTTGGTAAGTGGTAAGGAATAAATCACTGACTTTAACCCAAGGTTGGACTTGTTGTATCAGTCGCCTACTCCAGCTTCCCTGTGTCTCCTGTTCCTAGCTCTCCTGCCACAGCTGGTAGGTGCGGGTGCGTTCCTCTGTTCGTGCCTGGTCCTCCCCTCTTTGCTGATAAATTGCCTTTCTCTCCGCCGCCAAAAGCTTGACGAGGATGACTCCAGCAACCACCAGGTCGGCGGGTTCGGACACTGTTCGGTAGGCAGATGCTACCTTTAGTGCTGCCTGACGCTGTGCTTGGGCGAGCCGCATCCTATATATCTTGTGCCAAAAGCATAGATTAAATTAATATATAAGATGTCAGCTAGGTGGATTTATTTGTTATTGTTTTCAACTTATAATTGTTACTATGGAAAAAAACTATGTATAAAAAACTCTTATCATAGCTAAAATTCTAGTGTGCTTGAAGAGTACGATAAAACAATCAAGGATCAACTCTGTAACGGAATTATTGAAAAGGCCTCTGTTATGTATCAAGAAATAAGTCCATATGTTTTATTTATAACATCTGTCAGATGACTGTTTATATTATTATGTTTTGTTTACTTTTTAGTTTAGTCTGATTTGTGAGTTCAATAAATTTGGTTTTGTTTATTATGTTTCAATATACTAAACTGGCAACGAGGATAATTGGATAATGGATCTCAATAAGCCTGATCGTTTTGACTACCATACGAATCCTGCAAGTGTCGCTCAGCGTTGGGGTATGTGGATTAAGCAATTTGAGAGGTATGCTTTAGCTGCAGACATTACCAATGATGTAAGGAAAACTGCACTACTACCATTGCCTATATACCTACAGCTAGCTGGTGAGGATGTGGCTTACATTTTTGACAGCTTAACACAACCTAATGAAATAACATACAAAAATGTGATAACATTATTAACTGACTATTTCGCTCCTACCAAAAATGTCCTTTTTGAAATATTTAATTTGAGGAAGTGTCGTCAAGCAGAAGCAGAATCGTTTAACTCTTTCTATTCTCGGCTAAGAACATTAGCTGTGAACTGTGAATTCAAAGACTTGGATAGGGAATTAATTATGTAAATTTTGATTGGATGTAGGAGTGAGCTAAGAAATAAAATCTTGAAAGAACCTACTATTTAACTTCAGGATGTTGTTATTGCAGCTAAGTCAAATGAATTATTTCAAACTCAAAGTAAGGAACTTTCTTTCCCAATGGGATGTGTCAGGGACTTGATTCCACCCTCCATTTTTATTGACAACATAAAAAAATTTCAAAGGTCTACCGGTGCTAGCGTAAATGTCATAGTCTATGAGGAAATGTCAACTAGAAAACTAAGAAATGGCCTTTCATATGTTGAATTTGTCAAGATGCTACAACAATCCTTCGGTGTCCCAAGACAGTCTCATATTTCCAACATTCAAGAAACCTTCTCAAATGGTACTGAAGCTGTTTGTGTTGATGATTCTGGCAACAGGGGAGACCATTCCTCAAGAGATCTTTCCCAACATGATACCATGTCTTCTGAATCTCTTGTAAATTCTACTGATCTAACCAACATCTACACTGCAAACTTTACATCACCAACTACTGAGCTGCACACTACTGTCTCCGGTCCTACACTGCTAGAGTCTGCACTCAGTGACAAAGTGAGAGTGTCTCCGGGTGTTCTCACTTACAGTGAAACACTAAAGCAGAGTAATGGTGTGTGTGCGGGGGTTGCTGTGATCAGCCCAAGTGTAAATATTAATGAAATCTGTAAATCTAAATGTCATATTAATGTAGAAAATACCACTGTAAATAGTACTATGTTAGGTGAACAAATCGATGAAGTTTTTTTAGAAATAACAAAATAAATAACATATTACCGGTAGCTGCAATTATGGATGATTTTGATTTTACTGTAAATAATAATGCTAAAACAAATAACAATGAAAATCAAGAATACTTAAAAATTTTACAGGTTAATATCCAGTCTATTAGGAACAAAATGTTAGAATTAGAACACTTTTGTGCCATAGAGCAAGTGCATGTAATTTGTATGTCTGAACATTGGTTAGAGGAGCGGGAAGTTGAATTCTTTGTTCCTAAAGATTTTATTGCTGCAGATATCATGTGTAGGAAAAGTATAAAAAATGGTGGGGTAGGAATATTTTTAAGAGAAGGGTTAACCTTCACCAAAATAGATGTTAGCTTATTCTGCATTGAGCTTCATTGTGAATTTAGCTGTATTAAAATAATTGATTATGATCTTATAGTTTTAAGTGTTTACAGATCCCCTAGTGGTGATATTGGTTTGTTTCTGGAAAATTTTGAGCTTGCTGTGAAAAAGCTGTTAAAGTCATTTAAATTTGTAGCCATTGCAGGTGATTTTAACATAGAAATGATAAAAATGGAAAAGAAGACATCTATTGAATTTGCCAATCTGTTACGAAGTCTAAATTTAGTTTGTACAAATAAAAAACCTACAAGAGGAAAATCATGCATAGATAATATAATTGTAAACTTTTCATCAGATTTATATAACATAAATACAGTAGGAGGTTGTTTTGCAGACCATGAACCTTTAATATTAGATTTTTTACAGAAAACTATAAAACAATGTAACAACTCAAAAGAAGGAACAAAACAAATAATACGAAGGCAAAATGAAAGTAATATTAAACACTTTGTTGATCAATTGGTACAAGAGAAATGGGAAATGATAATGGACTATAAAATGGGTAAAATTAATGAGCAATTACTATTTGATGAATTTTTTAAGAGATTAGTATCTTTGTGGCATTTTAGTTCCCCATTAGTTAAGTGCAAACAAAACAATAGACATAAGAAAGGAAAACTTAATTGGTATAATGAAAAGTTAAGGAAACTTAGGGAAAAAATGCTTCTTTGTTTTTCTGTTTATAAGAGCTTACTCAATCATAAATCAAATAATTTGGAAAATGCCTATAGAACCTATATTGATTGTAAAAAGGCCTACAATCGTGAAATAAAATTAGCCAAAAAGCAAGCTTTTGAAAGATATATTGATAAGGCCCCCAACAGGTGCAAGGCTGCTTGGGAAGTTATATCGCATGAATATTCTCCTACATCAACTAAGTCGGAGGTTTTGGATGCTGACAATCTCAATAACTATTTTATTGAATGTGTTAATGAGCTGGAAAATGAAATCCCTCTCACCAACACACCTGCGCATGAGTTGCTGGGGACTCCCCCTATAGGACAATTACATTTCCAATGGAGGGAGGTATCATGGCAAGAGGTTAACAATGTTGTAGCTAATTTCTCAAATTCAAAAGCTATGGATCATTACTGGTTTTCAAATTATAGCATCAAACAAATAATTCATTTTATAAGTGAGCCTCTGGCTTTTTGTATTAGTAAATGTTTGAAAATTGGTTATTTCTCTGACCTTCTCAAAATTTCTAAAATTATTCCAGTATATAAAAAAGGTGATAAAAATCTTCCTAGTAATTATCGCCCTATTTCAATAGTGCCAATCTTTTCCAAAATTTTTGAATGTCTTATGCATAAACAAATGAATGAATATTTTGAAAATAACAATTTGTTGACAAATTCACAGTTTGGATTTCGAGAGGGTAAATCAACAACTGCAGCTGTCTTAGAAGTAATTAATAAATCTTTAAATGCATTTGAAAATAAAGAAACTGTTTCATTAACTTTATTTGATCTTACAAAAGCTTTTGACTCTGTACCTTTTGATATTTTATTCAAAAAACTTGAATTTTATGGTATTACAGGTGAAACTTTAAAAATTTTAAAATCCTATTTAACTAATAGAAAGCAGTATGTATCTGTTGGAGGCAGTCAGTCTAACTTAAGATTGGTTGAAGTAGGTGTTCCACAGGGCTCGGTTTTGGGACCCTTCTTGTTTTTAATCTCGATAAATGACCTGCCGAGGAATGTTGATGTAGACACTGTTGTATATGCTGATGACACAACTTTGATTGCAACAAATAGAGATATCCATGAGCTTGATTTAATTACTAATGAATCAATAACATCAGCACTAAATTGGTTTTCTTCAAATAAATTGACATGTAATCAAGAAAAAACACAGACAATTCTTTTGAGTCTATCCCCACTTGACAATGAATTAAAATCTGTAAAATTATTAGGCTTCCAAATTGATTCAAAATTAAATTGGCAAGAGCACATAGAAATCACTTGTAAAAAAATTTCCAGAGTAAATTATCTAATTTGGAAACTCAGAGATTTTGTTAGTAATGAATACCTTCGGATTACTTATTTTGGTTTTTTTCAATCTCATATTTCTTACGGGATTATACTATGGGGACACTCCCCCCACACCCATGAAATTCTTTTATTACAAAAAAAAGTCATACGAACAATTTGTGGGGCTGGCCCTGTGGATAGCTGTCGACTTCTTTTTATAGACCTTAAAATTATGACCGTTGTAAATTTGTATATTTTTCACATACTCCTCTACACTAAAGCCAATCTTCATCAATTCACTTGTAGAGAGAGTATACACTCTTACAATACAAGAGGCAAATCCAATCTAGATATCCCTGCACATAGATTGGCCAAAACAGATAACTGCCATAAAATAAATTGCATACGGTTTTTTAATAAATTAGGTCTGACAGCAAAACAGGTTCCTTTTAATAGGTTTAAGTCTAAAATGTTTGAGTGGCTCATCCAAAATCCATTTTACTGTATAACAGAGTACTTAGTTTCTGATGTTAATATTAATTTTTAATTTAGAACCCACTGTATTTTATAGCTTTAGTTTTTATTTATTGTTGACTATGTCTATTCCTTGTAAAAGGTCAATGACAATAAAGACCTTGATTCTTGATTCTTGATTCTAGTAGCTCAAGTTTTGCTAATGCACAAAAAATTGACCATTCAAACAGAAAATTTGCATTTAACAACAATCCAGCTCACTCTGATACGCCTAATGTTTGTCTTGGTTGTGGACTAAGACATTTTAGAAGGGATTGTCCCCATCTTCAG